AAATTTTCTCAAAAATAAATGAGGATTTTAAAAATGATTTTATTTTGAAAAGAAAGCATTGGCGTAGTACTTTTTCCCCAAAAATATTCAATGCGAAACCCGTAGGGATGCCACTGTTTGAAAAAATACAAATTTGGGTACATCAGAAAATGTGCCTTGAGGCATGGAACATATGTACCAAATATGCCAAAGATGTCTACGAAATTATCTCAGTTATTATTAAAAAACTGATTATTTTTGAAAACTTTGCCACCCTGTTTCTCAAAAGTTATGGCGTTTAGGACATACGTCCATAGGAAGTTTTTTCCTTAAAATGGGTCTAAGAATTATCTCCTCGAATATTAGCATGTGTTTAACGAACACCCTGTATATTCTTTTTTGGTACCTTACTAGAATGTTATCTCCTTTCAGTTCGAGTGGTTTAAATTTTAAACATTTATTGGCTTGATTTTGAACCTTTTTCTTGTATTTCATTTGTTGTTCTGGTGTTTTTGGTATTTTCTTCATTTGTAAATTCAAGACTAATATTTTATCTGCTTGAAAACCACCAGAAAAATCTTCAAAACATTTCATGATTAACTTTGAATCCACCAGGGTGATATGGAGTTGTATGTTTAATTGTTATTCCTCTCTCATATGCCCATTCATGAAATTCTTTAGATGTAAATAGTTTTCCACAATCAGTCACTATATTTTTTATTCCGTTTACAAATGGTAAATCGGCTGAATATTCTTTTAAATATTTTCTTTAATTGCTTTTGTTGAGATATATCTTATTGTATCATCAACAATGACAATGAATGATTTGCCCGGCTAATATTTGCCCAGCTAAGATTTCTGCCCAAGTAAGGCAAGCTGGCATGATTTTCACTAAGGACTCCAATAATCAGAACAACCATCTAGACAAAGTGTTAAGGATGGAGTCTGCGGAGTTCGAAGAGGAAATCTTTATATTTTATCCGTTCCTGCTCCTCTTTTCGGGCGATAATCGTCTCGCCAGGAGGTGAAAACTGTACTGCTGGTCAAGGACTACATCAGCTTGCATGAGCCTGCGGGTGGGGAACGAATAGTTCCAATGAATTCGGCACTTCTCGTTAAACACAACGGATTTAATATCCCCTGGAGCGTAGAGCAACACCGGTGTCTCGTCAATTATTATTATTATGACTTTTGCTTCTAGGAAGCATCACTTCGGAAATTACAATGAAATTGGTGCAGTTGGTAGGATTAATGTACAGACAGTGAGAAAACCAATGGCCTATTCAAATCTTTGACGAAAGCCAACTATAATGTACAAGAAGATGATTGTGAATTCTTTCACAGCACATAGGAATGATTCTTGGACTGAATATTCATGAAGTGGCTTACAACCTTTCTGGAGAGCGAACAAAGAACCTTACTTACAACTCCAAGATGTATAGGGTGAGTCTCTCATACATACAAGTTTTGAAAATTTCATGTTCTGATTACCGGCCTTTGATTGTTTCAGCACTGAAAGAATTACACAGTTTGAGACCATAGCAAAAAAAACTTTTATAAGTTTGGTGTCCGCTGCAAATTTTTGAAAAGTTCGATTTTATCTTTAATGAACAATGATGCAGATATTTTGAAGGAACCAAAATCTACACAAACTAACAATGTACAAAAGTTAATTTTGATTACATTTCCAAGATATTTCTCAGCAATTATTCGAACGAGTATACGATTGAAAAATATCAATTGTCTGAAAGATGCTATGAAATATGCTGTCGAGAAAGGACATTTTTTGTCTTTTGTAAATGAAGGCAACGTTTTCATACAGTATTCTAGTCACCTGTTGAGTCTTTATTCATAACCACAATTTATTCACTAGATAGTGCTCCTGAATATGAAATTTTCACACTCATTAGCTTTTCAGGTCCTTCAGTTCAGAAAATTAAATTGTATTATCTTTAAAAAATGAGGTGACCCATATGAAATGAAAAAGTTGGTAATGTTCACCGAAAAACTGAAAATAATTGTTGACACCCCTATTCCGAATTCGATACTAATATTTCATTGAGAATTATTGAGAAATTCCCCTTGAAATGCCTCTAATTATGAATAAAGTTCAGAGTGATCAAATAGACCAAGATCAATAACTCAAAAATACCGTGTGAAATGTTATACAATTTAGCGTTATAATGTATCTTGAACGTGTAATTTTTATTGAAATCAAAATCAATGTATAGAAGTTGGGCTGAAGAGTTCGTAGGTTGACATGGATATTTTTTTTTGATAATTTTTGATTTCATTTTTAAAGTTGCCTGGCTACCGGCGGTCGGTAACCAGGCGGTTCGACGTGGGTGCTTTGTTCACTCACTCGGATTGAATACCGTGTTGGTCGGTGGTTCAAGCCCCAGCCTGAATGATCGATTTTCACTTGCTATCGTCCAACCCGTGTTAGGAATCTCACGTTACAAGGTAAGACCTCGTTAATACTTATTTCGCACAAATTTCGACTTCTGAGGGTTGTCGTTCGTAGGGGTGCGACAACTGGTTAACGGAAAAACAATATTAAACGGATTTTAATATAGTTGCCTTCGAAGGCGAAACAACGATTATAGCGGTTATACATTTTTTTGATTTATAGTACGATTTGTGTTTAGCCTCAAAATAGGTCTCAGTTTCGACCATTACATCTTCATCGGCGGCAAATTTCTTTCCAGCGATCATTCTCTTGAAGTCTGAGAACATGAATAAGTCGCTGGTGGCCAGATCTGGAGAATACGGTGGATACGGAAGCAATTCGAAGCCCAATTCATGCATTGTTTTGATGAAACAGCAGTTAATTTTTTTCAAATGGGCCCATTTTCCCACGACTTTTTCCTCAAAAGCTCCAATAACGCTATGTAATAGACGCTGTTGATGGTTTTCCTTTTTCAAGATAGTTGATGAATATTATACCATGCGTATTCCAAAATACTGATATCATAACATGGCCAGCCGACTGTTGCGTCTTTGCACGCTTTGGAGTCGGTTCACCACGTGTTGTCTAACCAACAAGTTCAAAAATATGAAAATAGAGATAAAGGTCCTAAAAATAAAGCGATAGCTCATTCAATTCGGAATCACCTCTAGAAACATGTTTTTGAAGGATTTTGGTGGTATTTGAATGGTATTTAGTTTTTCGTTAATAACTAAAAAAATATTAATATTTAAGCAATTTTGAAGAAAGCTCGTTAAAGAGGAGGAAATTTCCGATAAAAAGTCCCGACTCCCGAAACTCTATCTCCATTTTTTATAATTTCAATTTGACGTAAAATAGGATTCTGCGTGGCGCGGAATTTATCAAAAGAAATAACTTTTTTATAACATAAAATGTCATTTTAAAAATAAAAAAAAAATCTACTATCTTCTTAACACTTGAATGAATCGAATCCCGTAGTGAAAAAAGTTTTATCATCATGTTTCAAAAAGTTATTCAATATTGAATTTCTCTATTCGTTTAAAACAATTTAATAAACAAATTACGTAAAAAATTCATATCCTATGTAAATAACTGCCATTGTTCAATGTGAAAACAGACATAGCTGAATATCAATTGAAAAAAAATGTATCAACAGTTTTCAGATATTTCATTTCGCAATAGTTATAAAAAATCATAATTAACAAATTAATGAATTTTTATGAACTTTTATCGCAGGATCGTATGAAGTATATATCAAAAGGGTTCCACGAAGTTCAAAATTTATAGGCCAATCATTTATACCTTTTATCCCATTATTTATGCCAACGGAGATTGGGAAAAAATTTGTTAGTTAACAATTGAATAACTTTTTGAAAAATGGTGATAAAACTTTTTTTTCTACGGGACTCGATTCATTCAAGTGTTAAGAAGATACTAGATTTTTTTCAAATTTTTAAAATGACATTTTATGTTATAAAAAAATTATTTCTTTTGATAAACTCTCTTTAGCGGCAGCGCGCGCATGCCGTAACAGCCGCGCGGAACCCTATTTTCAACGTCAAATTAAAATTATAAATAATGGAGATAGAGTTTCGGGAGTCGGGACTTTTTTATCGGAAATTTCCTCCTCTTTAACGAGCTTTTTTCAAAATTGCTTAAATATTAATATTTTTTGAGTTATTAACGAAAAACTAAATACCATTTTTTTTAATCTTATTTTGTTAATAACAATTGCAATTTTTTACCTGCACCGAAATCCTTCAAAAACATTTTTCTAGAGGTGATTCCGAACCGAATGAGCCATCGCTCATATTTTTAGGACCTTTTTCTCTATTTTTCATGTTTTTGAACTTAGACTAGTGATTAGACTAGTGCAGCCCACTCAGATGACGATTGTTTTGATTCTGTTGTGAAATAATGGAGCCATGTTCCATCCATTGTCACATATCGACGTATAAATTTGAATTTCTTATGTAAACATAGCTTCAAACACTGCATAAAATCATCAATTCGTTGTTGTTTTTGGTCGATTGAGATCGCGAGGCACCCAGTTTGAACAGAGCTTTCGCATACCCAAATATTCATGCACGATATATCCAGTATATTATTCTGACATCTTTAGAGCCTCAGCTATCCCGATCAACTCCACTTTGCGGTCCCACTTTGCGGTCATCCAAAATTATTTTGCGGACTTTTTCGATGTTTACGTCGGTAACAACCTCTTTGAGGCATACACTGCATGCATCGTCCTCGGATCCTCGGTGCTCATTTAACCTCGTTCAAACTTGGCAAAACACTTCTCAATGGTCCGAATAATGTTTATGAAGCCAAACTTTGGCTTCAACAGAGTTTTTGCCAAAATACAATGTTTTAATAACACACGAAATTCCATTTTATCCAAGTTGCTTCACTCAAAATGTTCTATTTCACAAATTGATAGTTCGACTTCTATAAAATGTGTACATGTGTCTTTCGAATGTTAGGTTTAATTGAAAATCATATGGATTCAAAACAAGTATAACCATCTGGTTTCCATAATTCAGCAGTACATTTCATCAAATCCTACTTTCTTCAACACGAACAGTTTGTATCTCATAACGGCTATGATTCTTTTTATTACAATCCTTCATCTGGAGTACCTCAGGGGATGAATCTCGGACCACTTCTGTTCTTATTATTTATTTATGACCTCAGTAATTATGTCGATTGAAGTAAGTTATTTTTTGCAGATGATTTGAAAATATATTTACCTGTCGAAACTATCGAAGACTGTAATACATTGCAACGACAGATAGAAAACATACAGACTTTGTGTGTCTTATAGTAGGAAAATGTCAATTATCGAGTACAATTATCAAGTAGATACCATTTAACTGTCACGAAGTAACTCAATTAAATGTCTTGATGTATATTTTGATCAAAATTTGTCTTTTTCCAACCACATTAGATCGAAAGTAAGTGAAGCATTGAGAGTTTATGGCTTCCTAGTTCGCAATTGTAGATCTTTTTCAAACATATCTGCTCTGGTTACTCTTTATGTAGCCTACGTAAAGTCAAAATAAGAATATGGCTCTGTTCTATGGTCTCCATTCTACAATTGCTATAATACATTAATTGAAAAAGTTCAATGTTCAACGTCGTTTTCTAAAGTTTATTTACTTCAAATCTTATGGTATCTATCCTGATAGAGGTATTCCAAATGAATCTCTTACCATAACATTCAATATTGAAGATCTTCAATTACGCAGAAAACTTGCTGGAATAATTTTTCTGTATGAATTACTGCACAATAATGTGGATGCTATGTAGGTGTTATCTTTTAAAAATTTATGTGTGCTTCATTTCAGAACTAGAAGTACAAAAACTTTTTACAGCCGACTGGCCAGAACAAATTTGTATCTCAAGTCACCTATCTTCAGCATTTGCGATAATTTCAATTCAATTTCAAATTTGTGTGATATCAATTTTGATTTCCTAGTATATATTGTTGACACTGCATCTCAGTATTTCATGGAGAATTTTTAATTTTCTGGTATAGTTTTTTTTATTAT